GAAACAACTGAATGTTTTGGAACAGCGTGCAGCTTCAATGGGGAAACATCCAATTCATGAAGTGTTGCATCTAGTGAATCTTTGCCAGAAGAACATGATACCTCTTTATCAAAATCTTCCTCAAACGCTTCATCGGGTTCAGCTGCATGGATAGGATCGTTCTTTGTCTCATTCATTCGAATTGTACAAGAGGGGCAAAGCTTTTGGCCAGGAACGACATCAAATCCTCTGGTTACCAAATCCTTTGCATTTGACAATTTGATCTCCTTGAGACCACCTGTAATCCAAGGCAACAAACACCATTAACAACTTAGTTAGCTTCAGTTCAGAAAAAGAAGAAGAAATCTTCAAATGATCAGCAAGATTGGTCTTCATATGAATGAGGCAGTGGAATACACCCTGTTTATTTGGTTGAATTTTTTGTACCTAGACTTGATATTAACCACTATTACAATCAAACTTTATAGGATTGCTCAGAGGGCTGGTCCCCCTAATGCCTGCTTTAAAAAACCTTTAAAAAACTGAAAAAGTGGATTGGAGTCAGTTTATAGAAATTATGGCAAAAATTAAAAGTTGTTATGCTTTGAAACTTGCTACTTTGTAATGAATTTAAGAATGCTTGGTACAAACCTTTTGCTGCCTTCTTATGTATCTGGAAAGGATTGCAGCAAGTTTTTTGCGCAAGAGAGTACCTTTTGATTAGCAACTGCTCGTGATGCAAACAGATATCAGCATCTTTGTTAATCAACGACAACCCAGACCTCCAAAATATCAGTTCTCTTACATCACAATCGATTGAATCCAGCCTTTTACTTCCAACCTTTCTCGAAAACGTGAGCTTGTGACATGGGTCACCCATTTTCTTTCCTACAGAACACATTTCTGCTTAGGGGTTCTTCGGAAAAGAGAATACTTTGCTGGTAGAGTACACCCTTTTATATAACGCATAAGACTAAGCTAAGTGAAAAGGAAATTCCACTTCTATTCAAGCATTTCCTGTTACGAAACATGGGCAATTGAAAAAGAGATACTTAATAGCAGGAAACGACACCTCAAAGAATTAAACAAAAATAGCTATTAACACCTGTGCCTAATTGAAATGACAACAATATGACATATAAAACCAATATCGATTTCCTTTTGTATGCGACTAAATGACTTACAATAGATGTTTTCACACACCTATTCAAAAGAAATAAAAGGGGATATAATTACTACATTAGAGTGCCCACACATAAGAAAACAACCCATTCATTTAACGATAACAAATGCAGTTGTCTTTCTGTTACTCGCTAGAATTTTCTTTTAAAGAGCTTGACACGTTTTTCGAAAAAATGGCAGTTTATAAAAAACGTGCTAGTGAAGGTCTCAAATTTTTAAGAATCTTTACCTAAAGTTACAACATTGCAAAGGCTTTCCTTTCTGCTTTTTTCCTTAACTCAAAGTTGACTGAAAAAACTTATTCTCAAAATCATCTGCACACAAGTTACTTTATTTGTTACTGTTACTGTTACTGTTTTTTTTATAATCTGGAGTTCGATGATGAGCAGCTTCAACAAGGCTGATTCCTTGAAATCTTGATATTTTAGATAGATTTTGTTCAAAGAAGGAGAATATAACCTCTTCAATTTTTTGCTGAGAATCAGTGTTAAGACTGGTCTCAGAGTTGGCAAAATTTGAAACTTGTCACATTTTGCCAACATTGAGATTTTCACACAAATGTCCCTAGCTTTTGTTGCCATGGCAACTATATGTCTAATTATCTATCACAGTAGGTCTTTAATTCTTTTGTAAAATCTGTTTTTAAGTTCATTTTTGGAATCTGCATGTGCAATTTACTCAGATTTGGTAATTTTTCTATCCTGAATCCAATGCTTAATAGCAGTTCAGGTTGTTCAAAAAATGTTTTAAATTCAAAATGGCGGATCTCGAAAAATTGGGACGAAAAACATAAAATTTCAAATGTTTCTATTTTTGGAAATATTTCAGATATTCACTTGAAATTTTCAATTTGTGTTTATTCCATATTTACCCATATTTACACAAAAAATCAGCCAATTCTGAGGGGATGGGTGACAAAGTTGCTTATTTTGTCCCTCTTTGACATGGAATGACCCCATAAGAACTGGAAGATTTGGATTTGATAAAGAATTTGGCTAATCAGATTTGTTTTCTCCACTGATTCTAAAGTCATTTTAATGGAAACATTTTTAATAGAGGAAATCTTGGCTTGCTTTTCTGGTTGCTTCCTTTTTTCATTTTGGTTCTTTCTTGAAAACATGTTAAAGGTTGTTGCAAACAACTTTTTTGCCAGGAAGAGGAACAATATGGTTTGCATTGAATGATGGGTTAAGGTCACAACCACCTGCCTTAGACTATAGGTTCAATATTTTGATTGCTTTGCTTAGATTAATTTTTGCACTGCTTAGATTTATAACATGCCTTTTTAAACCCCAGTTTCTGAATAAAAGCAAACCATGAACATTTAATAACTCTATGATACACATAGATTGGGATCCTCTTCCTAACCTGACAATTTTTGATTAACCATGTTCAACACAACCAATGCACCATTTTTGAAAGAACCTATATCACTAGCTTCATTAGAAACTGAATGAGAAAAGAAAGTTTCCAACAGAGCAAAAGATCTCTTATAAGCAAGGCAAGAAATGCTGCAAGAAAGATGGGAGTGGAAGGCATAAAACTCAGAGTGAGGATAAAATTCAGCAGATATTAATGCTCTCAGTAGATGACACATCTTTTCTAATGACAGAGAATCATTGTACAGGCAGTTTTCATTTTCCCTGAACCTAACCAACAATATATATTTTTCATTCTACATAGGCATGCTGAAGCCTGGGGCTGCTGTAGCCCCTTTTATCATGACGTATCTTATTTAAGTTGTGGCACTAAAGATATAAGTTGCAGACTTCCATAAGTGTTTGCTATCTTGTCTAGAGTAAAGTTAAGACTACACAGTTTTCTGGTAGGAATAGCTTTTGAGATGATGAGTAAATGTAGACTTATGCATATAGAGTTGAGGATTGCAGTTTATTGATTAAATATTTCCCGTCAATTGAATAAATCTTTAATGTTGTTTGAGCCTTGATAAAGAAAAGGATAGGAACCTAAAAATATTTTGACCATTCAGATATTTCTACAAAGTTAAAAATAACAAAATGGCTTTTGAGGTATAGCTCAAAACCTTTAAACGAGCTTTTCTACAAAATATTTTGTTCTTGATTCATTTTTAAACCTTACCCAAACACCTTCCAACTTGTGTCAAAAAGCACCCCCCCCCAAAGGAATTAACTTGATAGAGAAATCTCAAGCTTAGGATAGTGTTTTAAGCAGTCAGTTAGGCAGCAAACCTAGCAAGAAATTTATATTGATAAAGGTTTTAAGATCTTTTCCCAATTTTTCCGATCAATTCAGTAATACGTGTTTGGAAATGGAATTTACAGTAATCGTTCCTTTTGTTGTTGCTGCTGTCCACACTTAAATTTCCCGCCACAAGCATTCCGATGGCAAATAAAATTCTACCTATCTCTCTAAATTTTACCAGCATTACTTGATAAATATCGCTACTTTGAAAGTAAGACCGTACCTTCCGGCAAAATTAATTTTTCTCCTGCTAGATCCAGCCATTTTCAGGGGATTAAATGTTGAATTGCTTGTCCTTTTTATTTAGGCCAACAACAGTAAAAACAAGAATCGATCTTTGCCTTTCAGTGGCCTTGATATTTTTTTAGGATCTTTTTATAATTCGAGCCAATAAGTGACTTGATTGACTTCAAAATATCCATACTGCATCCGGAACCTGGTTTATCAGACCCTCTACTCGATATCCTTTTGCCAGGCATTTGTTTACCTGAGACTCTGAGGCTGAGAGGTAAAATTGCTGTGCAGGAGGGTATTGTCTTAGCTGCAATCTTAGTGGTAAGTCAGTGGAAGTCAGTCTTAAAATCCATACATCGCCTGGACCCCAAAATATTTCTCATACTGACCCCTGTAAAAATTATTTGCCTTATTGATCATACATCGCCTCTACTGACTTACGAGAACAATAGCGTTTTAGCATGGTGCAGAAAAGCTTTGTTAAAAGATGACCGCGCAGATTCCTAATTTATTCGACTGACTTACCAATGATATTGCGAGTTTTAGCCCTAACATCTTTGTTCTAATGATTTATGCATTGAGCTGTGAATTTCTATGGGAGAATTTATTGATAGATCATTTCGTCGAACAGTTTTATAGAAAATTTTCGAACCTACAGTTGACAGATCTGATGATTTTGAACAGGCGCTATAGAGAATATGACAAATTAAAGAAAATCTTTCTGCTGTCGTGAGACTTGAGAAAAATGTGTTTGAGAGCTAATTTTTTTCATTTCGTTTCTACAGATTGAAAATTGTTGACTGACTTCCGTGAGTCGGGTAAGTCAGTCTGGATCCGCCCC